ACGTTTTTTTATCACTAATTTGTTAGTTGGAATGAAAAAATATCATCGCCATTTATTTTACACTAATATATATTTACTTTATAGATAGATTACATTGATCTCCCTTGAAGTATGGAGGAAATACAATAATTTTGACAATTTTAACATAATTACATAACCGCTTTTGCAATGAGACTAAAAAAGACTGAAACTATGGACATTGTAAAAAGACACAAAGATAAACTAAATACAATATTCATTTCAATGTAAAAGAAATTACAACATCATTTTTCATTCCGATGACTTATAAATTACAGATGAAAATAGAGTTAAGTGTTATATGAATTAAAATGTTAAGAGAGTCTAATGTAATTATGATAAACTTATTAAGCTTACTGTATTTTCTCAAAAGCTCAAGGGAGGTCAGTGTGATTTATTCATACTTTATTTATATTTTAAATTTTACCAAATGAAATATTAGTATAATTATGTCAAAAGAACATAATTCCGGCCCAAAAGTTAGACATTTAGTGATGTGTTAAGAAAATGATTAATTGATAATTTAAAGAATATTTAATTATTTATTAATTATCTTCTTGGCACATTATTAAATTTACAAAATAAATACATGTAAAAATAAATATCCAAAATGTTAGAAGTTATTAAGAAATGAATATTCAACAACAAAAGAAGACATGTGAAACGACAAGTGTTTTTTTTTTCTTTTTTTTCTTTTTTTTTTTTTTGATCGGCAAAAAAAAACTTATTGATGGAAAAACATAACGAGAATGATAACTTACATCAATAAAGAAGAGGGTGCAAAAAGTATCATAGTGAAACATTTAGATCCCAATTAGGTTGACACCTAGATGCACACAAAATCATCTGTTAGCACACACTCGAAGCTCCAAGTTGGTGAGAAGCCAACATGCAGAGCGGAACAAAGCAAAACAAAAACAATAAAGCAACAAAACACTCCTCTGCTAGAGCAGAAGACAGAACACCAAGACTACTACAATACCCTCTGGCTTAGACAGAACACCATGACTACTTCAACACAGCAGACCAGCCTAAGCACAGCAACACCAGACCAGAGATCATAACTGAGCAGCCTAAGCATAGCAGCCCAGCAAGCATCCCAGACCAAAGACAGCAATCCAAAGAGCTGCAGACCCAGACAGATTCAACCACACCCAAGTATGCTTCCTCGAGCTTAAAACTGGACAGATTCATCCACCATTCCTACAAGCATCTGATGAGCCAATGGTAATCCTCAGTCTATGAGTCCATAGCAGACTCAACCACACCACAACCCATAGCACAAGACAGAGACAACCACAAAAGTCCATAGCACAAAGCAGATAAGCCTGTGGGTCCATTCAGCCACAAACAGCAGCCCATACTATCAGTCCACTAGTAATCCACCATCAGACAGCATACACCACTACAGCAGCTCCAAAACCAAAACCAAATCATAATGCATACTTGAACCTTTGCCATCAGCCCAGAATCACACATACTAGAACCTTAACCAAAACCAAAACATAATGCATACTTGAACCTTTTTTTTTTTTTTTCTTCAAACAACAAAGAGAAGCTATATTGATGAATTTACCAGAGGCATTGCAGAAATACACCAGTAAAGCAAAAAGAAAGACCAAGATTGGCGAGAAGCCAATCACACAGCTAACAAAAGAGCAAACAAAGAGAAGAATGAAGATGAAACAACAGTAGCACCGACTGGAACAGAGCACTACACAGGAACAAAGCACCAACTGGATCAAACTACGGTCTTCACGAACCAACCCTCACCTCTGAGACGTGAGTAGCACAGAATTGACAGTTAAGACTGTAACAGACCACGCCTCACCCTTGAAATGTTGTAGAGAAAATCTAAAATCGAAAAATTGAGCTCCTTAGAAGCAACCTTAAGCTAGAAAGCCAGCCGAATGAGAATCAGTTCTTACAAGTCCTGCAAATTAGAGGGAGATGCATTGAAGTAGCAATCATTTCTGTGTTTCCAGATTAACCGGAGTGTTACCAAGGGTATTGCACACCAAATCCGCTGTTCATCTTTTCTACAGAAGTACCCTGACCAACAGAGCAGCAGACCATGGACAGAATCAGGAACAGCCCAAGAAACACCCCACCACTGCAGCAGACCAGACCAGACTTTCCAAATAGATGGGCAGAGGATAAGAACATGCTCGACAGATTCCTGATGAGATTTACAAAAAATGCAGAGTATAGAAGTAGAACTATCCAAAACTCCAATCCGCTGCAAGAATACAGAGGTTTTGATCTTGTGCTTCCAAGCGAGCCAACCGAAGAATTGCACCTTAGGAGGAAGATACTTAATCCACACCAGACGACAGAAACAACCAGTACCTCCATAGACATTGTAGGTGTGATTGTAAAGGTTGGACACAAAAGATTGCCCAAGCTTGGCTGCTCTCCATATTGCACTGTCCTGGGACTCCAGCTGAAAGGAGGGCACTGAACCTACAATGCCATAAAGTCTGAGCAGTTCATTCTTTTTCCAAACAAATAGAGGTCTCCTAAATGTGAATAACCAGTTCTTAGTTGTGCCAGATACTTCCACAAATTCCTTTAGCAAACCTTCCTTTTGTGAAGATAAACTGAAGAGCCTAGGGAACTCCTCTTTCAGGAAAACATTACCATACCAGGAGTCAAACCAGAACCTTATACGACAGCCATTGCCCACCTTTAATTGGAGGTTGCTAGCAAAGTATAGTGATAGAGACTGATTTTGCTCACCTGCTGCCACTATGCCATTCCAAATATAAGAGGATGAGGTGTTTAAACTTGGGTTTGGAACCCATTTTCCACCAAGGAACCAATATTTGTTGCGTAATACCCTATACCAAAGGGACTCTAGTTCAGTAGCAAATCTCCACCACCATTTTAGGAGTAGACATAGATTCACGTCTCTAATTGCATTGAATGCAAGAAGCCAAATCAATTACCTTCATTTCAGAATTTGAAATTAATGAATTGGGTATTGTGAGCTTGACGAATGATTGATTATTTATACTTCCAAGTTGCACGCATAAAAAAATTGTTTATTTATTGGATTTTATTACTGATATCAGAGAGATAGATAGTGGTGTAGAAGAGACAGTTGTGTTGGCTTTTGCTACCAACTTATATTTGTTTGTACAAATAGAAACTGTGGGGAAGGGTTGGAAGAAAGTCCCAACCAAAGGGTTGCTTATATGTGTTGGGACGGTCGACCAAATAATATGCATTTGGAGGCCAACATATGCACGTCATGTGACCAAGTTGCTCACTCAGTTGCATCCCATCCCACATCCGATCCCCTCCCACCTAGTGTTACCTTCCTTTATTCCTTCATTTTAGAATTCATATGCCAATTTTTATTTTTTAATTATGCTCATGTTTCCCACCTCACCAACAAGCTTGAATTTATGGAGTAGGCAGTAAAAAATTTATTTTAAATTATTATCCACCCTAAACTTTTGAAAAATCACACTTTTGTCCTGTAATTTCATACTTACTAAAATATTTCTTTTTAGGCACGAATTTTATAAGGTAATTAAGATTTTTTTGACAACTTAAAGAAAAATGGCTTAGTAAAGAGGATTTTAGGAAAGTATAAGATTAAAAGGGATGTTCTTTTTTAAAAAAAGTCATGCATAAGTAATTAATTTTTGCCTAATTAACATTGTAAAGATTGAGGCATAACATATCCACCTTAACACCCAATATACCTTACATTTCAAACCCGAACTCTGCTGACCCCCACTACTACCTCTGGTTGACACCTCTGACCACCAACCTTTAGCCCTTCCCCACTACGACCGAACCTCTCTTTTATCGTGACCCTCTTCTCAACCCCTTTACCCTTCCACAAAACCCCCTCTCTAGCCCTATTCAGCCATTATAAACCACCTCTCCTACTATGAAACTTTTGCCCCACCATGATGCTCCTTCTCAATCCCCTCCCTTTATCGCGTACTCCTTTTTCAGACCTCTTCCTCACATAATCTCATTCCTCATCGCAATCTCCTGTCCTTATTGCAACCCCCTATCTCTAGTTTTCAGATTTTGATTTAAAAAGAAGAAAAAGAAGAAGGATGAGTAAAAGGAAGGAAAGAAAAAAAAAGAAAAAAAAGAAGTGGTGGCACAGTTAAATTTGCACCTTTACCTTTTAAAACCTAATTCTCTCCACCCCTAACAACCACCTCTGACTGCCACAGTCACTATTGTAGATATCCCATTTTGGTTGGCTATAATACTCAACCACATTTTTGGAATGCCGCCCGATGATAAACATAAGAAATTGTTTGGAACTCTTGATTTATCAATTTTTACCTCAAACCAGACGTATCTGGATGAACTTTAGCCTAGCTAAAAAACATAGCCAACCTTTCAAAACCTATTTGAGACATATTGAATCCCCCATGGTTCATTCCGTTCATTTTCTTCCTATCTCCCGCAAATTTAAAAATGGTTATATCTTCTATATGACATTTTTGTGAAAACTTTTCGAGTTTTAAAAATTGATTGGTTCCAATATGTAGTATTTTCAAAGAACTTTTCAGCGATAGAAGATACAACTAAAACTACATAGATTAAATTGACAAAAGAAATAAATTATGAGGGCCACGATTGAGTATAATGTGCCCAATTATTATTATTTGTTAAGAATATAATCTAATCTCAAATGATCACTAAATTACGAAATTAACCTCTCTTTTAGAGGGAAAATGATTGGCAAGCATTTTTTTTAATTGAAAAAAAATAAAAAAATAAAAAAGCAAAACGCTCCATCCAAAGGTGGAATCCAAATTAAATCAATGGGAGTTTGGTAAGTACATATCTGTTGATGAAGTATGACCAAAAAAACAAATGTCAAGAAAAGCAACGCTGCTTACGTTTTTTATTTACTTTTTTATGACCAAAAAAAAATATGTCAAGAAAATCCTCTATATAGATCCCCGCAAATCGCTGCAATTCCTCCACCATCCAAACTCAAACTCATACTCTCTCTCTCTCTCTCTCTCTCTCTCTCTCTCATGAAAATGGCGCTCCCTAGTGGTTATCTTGTTATTACCATTCTCTTGACCTTTTTCTATCAACCATTAGCAACTGCAGCTACATACAATGTGGTGAATTTGGGAGCCAAACCAGATGGGAAGACAGACTCAACCAAGTCTTTCCTGAGTGCATGGGACGCAGCTTGTGCCTCTGCAAACCCCACAACAATCTATGTCCCACCAGGAAGGTACTTGCTTCACAAAGCAAATTTCTATGGTGAGCAGTGCAAGAACACAGCCATCATAATCCGTATCGACGGCACTCTTGTTGCTCCCTCTAACTACCGCGCTATTGGAAATGGTGGAAGCTGGCTTATATTTCAGAAAGTCAGTGGGGTTTCCATCTTTGGAGGAACACTTGATGGCCAAGGGACTGGTTTGTGGGCTTGCAAAGCCTCTGGCAAGGCTTGCCCTACTGGAGCTACGGTATGTACTTTATATTATTGTTGAAGTTTATGAATTAAACTGCCATTAACCACCCTTTTCTTTGGTTATCCTTTAGTTTAATCTATCTATGAGTTGACAATACTATGATTAGCTTCAATTGGCCAATGTTGTCTTTTCAATTTTCAAGAAAAGGGTGCACCTAGTTTCCAAAAAATTGCAAAGCCTTCGCCAACTATTTTTCTCAGTGGGATGGAAATTTTCTTGGTAACCAAACATAAAATGGGAAGGTTATTATTTTATTTTTTATTTTTATTTTTTTTCCTTGAGAAGGAGAACAGTAAAATAAGGGTGGCCAAGTTTTGTGGGCAAGTGGGGTGGCAGTTAATAGACTGCTTATAGTGTGCTTCAGTTGTACTGTACCCCGGTGACGTTGATTTCTTGGTCAAGTTTACACTCTTGGGGGGAAAACAAACAAACAAAATAATTAGCATGTTGAAAACTTTCAATATATCACAATCCCTTCCCTTGCATTACTTGGAATTGGAACTAATTAAGGCCTTTTTGTGTGTATGCGCGCGTGTGTGTCTGTGCAGACACTGGCCTTGTACAATTCGAAAAACATTGTAATTAATGGATTAACATCACTAAACAGTCAGATGTTCCACATTGCCATCAATGGCTGCCATAATGTGAAGGTACAAAGAGTGAAGGTCTCGGCCTCAGGCAATAGCCCAAATACAGATGGTATTCACATTCAATTATCATCTGGAGTCACCATCTCCAACTCTAGGATAGCCACAGGAGACGATTGTGTCTCAATAGGCCCTGGCAGTTCCAATTTATGGATCGAGAACGTTGCCTGTGGCCCTGGCCATGGGATCAGGTAACATATCAATATTTCTTTACTACTAACATATATAAATATCAAAACATTCCATTCCATTTGTGGCTAAATTTAAATATTTATGCATGATTGGTGCAGCATTGGAAGTCTAGGGTGGGAATTACAAGAACCTGGAGTGCAGAATGTGACAGTTAAAACGGTTACTTTCAAGGGTACACAAAATGGTGTGAGGATAAAGACATGGGGTAGGCCCAGCAATAGTTTTGCTCGGGGCATTGTTTTTCAGAACCTCTTTATGGTCAATGTCCAAAATCCCATCATAATTGATCAAAATTACTGTCCTCATAATAAAAATTGCCCTGGTCAGGTATGTAAATGTAATCGGTAGCCATTAACCATAGATGGGAACAACTCAAAATCAATTCTCTTATTTATTACAATTTTTTTTCCTCCTACAGAATTCTGGTGTGCTTATTAGTGACGTGACATATCAAGACATCCATGGAACATCGGCAACAGCAGTTGCGGTTAAAATTGATTGTAGTAAAAAGTATGGATGCAAAGGGATAAGATTGGAAGACATTAAACTCACCTTCGGGGATCAACCAGCAGAAGCATCATGTGTCAATGTTGGAGGATCAACCTCTGGTTCAGTTAAACCAACAAGTTGTTTGTAGGACAATATGAAATTTATACACACATCATATGAATTAATCTAGACTATATTAAGAATCTAAGAGAAAGGAAAAGCATAGGGAATTAACATCCATATTTTTAGTATTATTGTCAGTTTATTAGCTCATGAAATTAGACAAGATCCAGATTTATACACACATCATATGTATAATATATTAGTCCATCCCCATTGAGCCTGCTGCTGGCCATGCAGAGCACTGTAGTCTAAACCCTTCATTGGGTAACCTGTTGTATTCTCAAATTCGTAAAAGGAAAAGAATTACTATTTGAATTAGTATATTTATTTGTGTTGAGTATTTCAGCAGCAAGTATGTGATCAAACAAAAGAAAACAAAGCTAAAATACACAAAATCATATCTGAATTTTCTTCAGAAAAATAGAGGATGAAGAGGCAAAACAGAGGCACCGACTCTGAAACTTCTCTTCAAACATTCAAACTATTGAGCTTCTCTTAGAAGCTTTGACCACGAATTTAGAATCACATATTACCATCCCAAAAAAATAAATAAATAAATAAATAAATAAATAAAAATAAAAAAACATTTGGACAAGCCATCCTCCACATAATCTAACTATAATCAACGCAAAACAAAACACAACCTTAATTGAATTAAACAAAATAAGTTGATTGTTTGGTAACACAACCTTAGCTAGTGTGGGTGTTGATTTTTGACCCCACAATCAAACCGATCTCTCTGTAGAGATCTAAGGAACTTAGCTGGAGAGCACGCAACAGAATAGATGAAGTCAAACACCTGCGCATAAAAAATTAAGAAATACCACGGTGGCTCGTCCATTCGGGACACTCTGAGGATCAAGTCAATCACTTATCTCTCAAGATAATAGCTCAAGTAAATATCTCACAAAAAATAAAAAATACCTTAGACCCACAAGATTCAGTGCCCTCACCCCCTAGAAGTATCACTTCATAGGACTCAAGCATTACACTTATCTCGGACTCTCATTTAGATAAGAATGATCTCATTTAAGAGCATCATCTTTATCCAAACAAAGAGTCTCAACTTATCTAAGATTCTTGTCCTCTATCCGACAATCTTGAATTCCGATATTACCGCACCTTATCTCGGTAATGTCACAACAATCTCGGGATCATGGCTCATCCACCTGGCACCTCGGCCAATACCTCGGCCACTTGGACAACCCTAAAAATATTACCTCACCAACCTGAGGTGATGGAACCTATATGGTCTGATCTCCCAACATGTCGACTAAACATCATGCTAGAGATACTCCTTCGACCGAGATCATGACTCGTCGGCTTCAAGAAACAAGGAGTCAAATGTCTAATCATCTTGAACCAGGAACTAACACATCACATTCAAATGAGCTATCTCACTAGTGATCATATCACAAGTCGAGGTCATGACCCATTACCTCAAGAATTCCCAGAACCCAAGACACATGTGAGCTGTCACGCCATAACTATCCCAACTGTTTTCCCCACGTATCTTCAACAAACTGGAGCACACCGATCATGTCCCAATTGTGTCACATCAATTCGGCCCCATGCCGCTTGATGTCAGCATGGGCTATCACCCAAGGATTCGAAATGACACCTTTTCAATTTTTTCAACAAAACTCTTCCCTTTCTCTTTCGTCCCTTTACTTCCACACTTTCAGTCTTTCTCTCTCTACGATCTTTCATGAACCGCCATTACCAAACCTTCAAGCATTCTACAACTACTCTGTTCAACCACCTCTGGCGAGCAATCACATGTTCTACTCCGTTCAAAAGCATCATTTGAGATAGGTGAATCAGATTCTGGCATCCATTTTGTTGTCTCTGACCTGTAAGTTCTTCATACCTCTGATTTCATTTTTGGTTTCTTATGTTCTTGAAGTTATTTTTCATATTCTTGGTTGTTTGTGCATGCTTTCAAGTTTCTGTACATAGACTCATTGAACAATATTGGTACACTTTTGATTGGATGCACTTCACACCTTGCACTTGATTCTGAATTTGTTCTTGCCTTTGTATCTTCATCCTCTGAATCTAGTTCTGTCTTTCTTGCTTATCCAAATTGCTTTCATTCTTGCCACTACTCTTGCATTCTTTAGATTAGGATTGGGATTTGTTTTGGATATTAGCAAAATTGAAACAAAATATGCCAAAAACCTTTTTCAGTAGATTACCAGAATCTTCAACCCAAAACACTTTAGGGCCTAAATTAGAAACCCTAGGTACAGAACACCTAGAATATCAAAACCACCTTAGGCGATCAGCACCCAAACATTAGCCGAGATAATGGGTATGTTCAAGTGGAGAGTAGACTCCCTAGCAAACTAGAGTATTTTCGTCAAGAATTTAACATACCAGTCGACATCTGATTAGACTAGTCGGCGAGAACAATTCTATCATGCCTGGGGAAAACTATATGGCCTTCTCCATGGTATCAATCATTGAGGGTGGAATCCGATTCCCCTTTGGCATCCTTTTCCGAGAGGTAATGCATTATTATCGCATTAACCCCATGCGACTAGCCATTAACACCTTGAGAATAATCAATGGCATAGTTGAGATATGTTGCGGACATAACACTAGGCTCACCCTGCCCCGACATCCAATACTACTACACTATGTGTAGTTTCAAGTCTACCAGTGGCATCTCCTACTATCTCATACCCCGGTTAACCGCTTACAAGCTGATAGCCGATCTTCCAAACTCCAACAAGGGTGCTGGAGAAAACTATCTCATTGTCATGGGCAACTGGGAGTTTGCACCAAATGATGAACTGCGCCTCTTCCCTTGCACAGAGGGATCTTTAGTGAAGATGAGGGTAAGCATTTAGTTTCCTTAGATCATACACTTTCAACATCATTCTCTCATACTTAGTCGATTTTTCATATTTTTTTTCTCTTATTTTTACAGAACTTCTCTTAGCTGAGCAAATCCTTCCACAGGTCATATGTTAAGCAGAATGACCTAGCCCAACTTCTAAACCTACCAATCAAAGATCGCAAGGCCCCCATTCTGCTCAACTACGTGCCAACATATCAGTCTCCGCTACCCGACATCCTATCCAAGAGCAAGACTCCATTCTCTGCCACAACACCACCAACAATATCATTCCCATGCATAGACCAAGCCTCTACCTCTCAACCAGTAAATCAGCCTTCCAGCCAACATCATCACTGACATACCAACACTCCCGCAGGAAGGAACATGAGTAGAAAATGAAGTTCCAACCTTCTAGCGTACAACCCAACAAACACACCAATTGCACTACTTGTCTATCACCTCGGCATCAGAGTTACAATTGTTGTGATATCCAAAGACATGGGTTGCAAAGAAACCATTGCCAATGACCTCTTCGCCAGCCTTCCCAATGTGGTATCAGTCCACTCAACCCCTTCTCCACCTTTTGTTGAGAAACAGAAGAGACTGAAAAAGGCCAAGGCGAAGACCAAGGTCACAATCACTCATTCTGCCGAAGAGAAGGACCTTGAAAACACCATCACAATATCCAAGATGACTGAGGTAGAGAAAAAGTAGGCCACCATTGGGCCCACTTTCTTGAACTTTGAACCACATACTTGTGATGTACACACATGGGAGGACCCTAAAAGTTGGTGGCCGGCCACTAATGTTGCTTGACCCTTTTGAACCCCTCCTTCCGAGCCAATGTTGAACACCCTTGAGCCACTTTCTTGGACTTTTAACCACAGGGTTGTGTTGAGGGCACATGGGAGGACACCATCAGGTGGTGGCCGGCCACTGAACCAACTTGACCCTTTTGACCCCTAGCCGGCCGGCTAGGGGTTGTGGCTGGCCGGCCACCTGAAACAAAAATACCTGGCCAGCCATGTTCCTTGCAACATCAACTTTACAGCTGTATAGCTGTTTCCCCCAGAAAATATCCCAATCCGGGGGATATTTTGTGGGGGAAAACTTGCCTATTTTCCCCCACCTTTTGCCCCTCCTTTACTCTCCCTTTTTTGTCCATATAATCAGCTGGCAACATTGCATACAAGGGTTAGAAAAATTGGTCTTCAAGCATTGATACACAATTCCTCCTCCATCTATCCCATTTCCTTGAAAAACCTCCAAGTCCTACACCACCATTCCTTCTACACCACCAACCCCCACCCTTCCATCCTCCATTACAGAAGTTTGAAGGTGTTCTCCAAGGCCTAAGGGTGCTGAAAACTCAAGCCAAGAGTTGCTAAAGTTTGATCTTCAAGGGTGAGTTCCATTTCCCCTTTTTGGTCCATTTTCTTGTATCATTTGTAAGACATACATGCTTATTGTTTTGAGCTCCGACCAAAACTAAAAATGTCATTTTTTTGAGCTTATTTTCATGTCTCATTAAGGGCTCAACCCTGTTTGAGCCCTTTATCTTGCACTTGCTTCAATACCCTCTTTGAATGTCAATATTTTGCATGCTTTTTCTAACCTACGTGTGATCTATTTTGGAGTTTCTCATGAACTGTAAGTAGGCTTATTTTGAGCCCCTCTTCAATATTGAAGAAGGGCTCATCTTTGTTTGGGACCTCCATGTACCACTTGTCTTTATATCCGTCTTTGGTCCCCTATTCTTGTATGACTTGGCAGCCTATCTTGGTTCCATTTTTGGTCATTTTACAGAGCTAGAAAATTTCTTATTTTGGCCCATTATTCATGTTTCATTAAGGGCATTTCATGGTTTGAGCATATTTTATACACTTCATGTTATATCTCTATTTTAATCCCCATTTTTGCATGCTTTGGCAGCCAATCATGCTTCTATTTTTGGTCTTTTTACAGGCCTATAAATAGTCTTATTTTGGCCTATTCTTCATGTTTCATTAAGGATCTTTGGCTGTTTGATGAATATTTTGCATACTTTGTGTTATAGCCACTTTTGAGCCTCATTTTGCATTGCATTTCTAGCATGTTTTTATACTGTTTTGGAGTTTTTACAGTTCTTTAAATAGTCATATTTTTGGTCCCTCTTCAATGTTGTAGAAGGGAATTTTTCAGTTTGGGCTTTGCATATACCACTTGCCTCTTTGGCCACCTTTTGGCCCTTTTTCTTGCATGGGAGTGCAGCCATACCTGTGTTTGTTTTTGGGGTTTTTATAGTTCTGGAAAACATCACATTTTGGGCCCCTCTTCAACTTTGTTGAAGGGCCCTAACCTATTTGGAGTTAGCAGCTATGAGTTGCTTCATAATCTCATGTTTAGGGCCATTTTTGCATGCCATTGTTGCCCTATCTTTGCTTGCTGTTTGGACATGATTTGTACCGTAAAAATGCTTATTTCGAGGCTGCCTTGCTTCTGTCTTTTCATCTCGTGTACCAATTGTGCATGTTTGGTATAGCTATAGGCCATTTCGGGTGCCAAAATTCATATTTCGGGACTATTCCATGCATCGGGTGTGTTTTTGCCTCGTTTCGGGGCTGTTTTCCCCCACTTTTCAGTGCTTAAAGTCCATGTTGCATTCTATATGCCATTTCATGTCATTTGCATCGTGTATGCCATTGCCTCGGTTTGCGTGCCCGTATGCACGCATTTCGAGGTACTTTATTTTCATCTATCGGCCTCTTATGTGAGTGTGGCTGAGGCTCTCTCATGTTAGTTATTCTTTAAATACATACTTACTACTCCTAAATCTTAAATCTTATCCAAAATATTACATTTAACACAAAAAATTGGAATGATCTAATCTTTTTTTTTTTTCATTTTCATTGACAAAAATATTAAAAAACTTACCCTTTACAAAATATGTTGTATATATTTTTTGTACAATAATTCATAATTATTTTCGTATTTTTATCATTAATTGTAAATTAGAACAATTTTATTTTTTATTAAAAATCTTAATATTTTCATTTCAAATTTTAGATCTATAGATACATTTATAAAATATTGTAAATTTCATATATGCTCATATTGCATTCTAACATTGTCAAAATAGTGATAAATTATTTCAAGGGGATCCTCCTATTTCTTTCCCTGG